TGGGGAAGGAGCGTGCTTTGCTCTCAGGGGGCACTAATGTGGTGCTCCCAGTTTGCCTGGGAGACTGGGTTTCCTCTTTCCCCACACTGGGGGTGGGACTGGGAAGCTGGAGCTGTAGGGACATTGATAAGAATTGTTTCAAGTGATGAAAAGCAAGTTGTGCTTTGTCAGGCTGGACCCCAACCAGATCTGCGGGGCCTTTGCTGCTCTTGGAGGTGCTGCTGCCAAGAGTAATTTCACTCCAAGTGAGCAAAAACTTTCATATGCCTTGTTTCATATTAGTAGAAGTAAAAGAAGACATTTTTACATCTCCAGCACTCCCTACTCTCTCTGCATTAGAGATAGCAGAGCTATGCTACCATCTGATACAAGCTGTTTGTACTTGGGACCAAATTCGTGGCTTGGTCTAATGGGGGTGCATCACCCTGGGCTGGGGTCTGACCTTCTGCTAATGGGAGCTGTGGCTGGTGATGGGGCAGCTGTGCATCCAGAGCTGCCACTGTCCCTCTTGCGTGTCCTCCCTGGGCATCCCGGGGTCGGAGCAATCCAGGGGGAAGTGCAAGGCAGTTTGGGGCCGCAGGAGAGGAGGACCTTGGAGGGGATGAGGCTGCCCATGCTGGCCTTCTCTTCTCAATTCCAATGGTCACTGGTGGCGTGGTTCTGCTGCATGACGCCTTGGGAGAAGGAAGGGCTGGTTGATCCTGCAGTGTTGCGTTGGGAGCAAGGACGCTGGGGGAAAACTGGTCATAGCTGCTGGCTGGTGCATGCAGGCTCTTTGCAGGCATCTCTGCGCTGTTCAGTGACAGTGCATCTATGTCTAATTCTTGCACTGGCAGCTTGCTGTGGCAGGGTCTGGTGAGAGGGTCCGTGCCTGTGCTGGGCTTTTGGTGCCGGCTCTCCCAGCCGTGGCAAAGTGCTGGCGAGTGGCTCATGCCTGGGCAGACATCAGCTTCTTGACGCTGGGGCTAAGCAAGGGCAAGTGTGGGTTTAGTGCGCCGGGAGGATTTCTGCTGCTGTAAACACAACATGGCTGAGAGCTGTCGAGTGCTAAATTAAATCCTGAAATCTGCCTTTGTTGTGTTTTGTTTTTTCCCTCCCAGCTTGAGTAATGCTTTCACTTCTGTGTTTTCTGGGAAGAGCCTTTGAAGTGGGCAACTGGACGCTGGCTTGCACTAGAGGTCTCCTGCCATGACTCTCTGGCTAGCCGATGTACTGGCTGTGCTCACAGGGAGGATGTTTTGGGACCATGTATGGCACGAAAGTAAAACCTTTCCCTGTACCGTGCAGGAGTCCCCCTTTGCCCTGAGCACCATCAGCCACATGGCCCCAGGGTGTGCTCGCTGCCAGAGGGGAGTGGAGGGGAGAGCATCCTGCTTGGCCAGTCCTGCATGGCCAGGAGGGTCGTCCCTATCCCCGTCTCTGTGGGTATGGATGTCCCAGAAGGGTGTGCAGCATCCCTGGGGATGCTGCTTACCTCCCGCTGTGGCACCCAAAGGCTGCAGTCCTGGCACAGTGCTGTGCCAGATCCGGCACTGCATCTCAGCAGTGCTGGTGATGTCGCAAGCAGAGCTGAGACAATGCCTGGCTGGAAAGGGCTTTCCTGGTTTTATGGGTGGTCCTAGCTGCAGCTGGCCACCAGCGCTGCTGGGACAGCAGAGAATGGGGCTCCTCTGCCATCGCCTCTCTCGTGGTATGGCTGGGAGTCAGCTCCTGGTCCTGTCAGTGCTCCTGTTCACAGGAAAGTTCATGGTCTCTCCGCAGCCCCGGAGGCTGCCGTCTGTCTATGGGTGCTCATAGCCTTTCTGTGTGAGCACGTCAGCCAGCATCTTCAGGAACATGGTGGACACTTCGATTAACAGGAGCTTGGGTGAAAGTGGGAGGTGTTGAGTGTGTTGGGTGAGGAGATGTGATTGCAATTTAGTGAGGGAGCATGGGTTTCCTAAGAGGTTGTGCTGGAACGTGTGTGTATCACGTGAGAGCAAAGGGGAACATGGGCTTGTGGCTGGTGTGCTTCCTCTGCAGCGATGCAGAGCCGCTGCAGCATGCGGGGTGGTGTGGGTTGATGCTGCAGCCGATGCCACGGCTGATGCTGCGGCAGTCCTGTGGCTGTGGTGCAGGCAGGCTGCAGCTGCTCGGCTGGGAAGGCTGCACAAGCTTGCGTGCTGTGAATAACCCTCCAGGTCTCTTCCTGGGGTCAGCTCCTTCCTGGCAGCGATGGCTGAAGATTTAGTCTGTGCAAGCAAGCGCGTCCTGGGCTCTCGGAGGCAATTTCAGCTCTTCTCTCGCTCGGCGCTGAGACAGATTTGGTGCGGCGCGGGGGGAGTGGAAAGGCCAGGGCTCCCAGGGAGGAAGCTGTTTACTTTGGCAACTCAGTCGGATCCTGGAGCCAAGACTCAATCCGTCCCACTCGAGCCTTTCCCCCACTGCCTGCCCGCTGCTGGGGCGGAGGTGTTCCTGGGGCTGGGGGGATGCCAGGTGAGCTGCAGCAGCGGCGAGTTGCATGATGGTCCCCCCTGTGAAATCCTTTATGTTTTAGGAAAGCCACAAGCCAAGGGGCTGCCTCCCACTGTGTGGTGTTGTGCTCTCAGAGCTGGGTGTGCAGCCAGGAATGAACGTGCCCTCAGGCGCCGCTTTTCTGATGTGCATGGAAAATGCCAGAGCTGCGTGTCCGGCCCCGCTGCTGTAAAACATGCCTTTTGTGCCCAGGAGTCTCACCCAGAAAGCGGGTCTGACCTTAAGTAATGCAGCCCAAGTAGAGGAGCAAGGGGGGACTGGGGAGCCAGGTCACTGGCAGAGGTGTGAAAACTGAGCAGTGATTATAATGCCTTTTTTTTTTTGCTCGTGTGACTGCATAGTCCACAGCAAGGCGGGCAAAACTTGGTAGTCCTTGAGCCAGGCTGCATTTTACCTGGGTAGCACTGCAAACTCCCTTTGCTGATGACAAGAAGGGCATCATTGCTGGGAAGAGCAGAGTCCTACACAAACTATTTGCACCCCTGGTCAGCCTCCTCGTTGGTCCTCCTTGGCGTTATCTGATCCTGGCTCTGTGCACTGCTTTGCACGAGTGAGGTTTGGATGAGTTTTTAGTTCACGTCTGGATTTATGGTTCACCTGGGCAGCTCCCATGCTCCCTGAACCTGCATCGCTGGCTTGCAAACAGATAACTGCTGCTGTGCAGGGAAGGGAGCAGCTGTGAGCTCCCACGGCACAGGATTACCAGACTCTCTGTCTTCCATAGACTACGATACTTGGAGTAGAACAGCACCTCCACTAGCTGCCAGATTGTTTTCTTCCTCTAGCAACAAGGATCTAAACTTGCAGCGAACACAGCAAAGCAATTTGCAAATAAGGCATTTTGAAAAAGTCTCTTATTACCATTCCTCCTGCACTGGCAACCACTGTGCTTAGTGCAAGAGTTCAAAGTCAGAACGGATAAAGAAATTGAGGTTCACATTGAGGGATGCTGATGCTGCTGCCCAGTTAATGCCATGGAGCTTAGAGCTGCCTGAAAACTACTTGCTTCATTTTCCAGATTTGTTGCAAATTGATCTGGTTCAGCGTCTTTAGCTCCTTAAAGCTTGAGTCTCTTTAGGTCCTTAAACATCCTGAATTTGGAAAACAGATGGAATTAAAATTTCACTTAGGTTTCCAGTCCTGGATTACTTTCTTGTACAGTAACAGTATAACACGACAGGGCTCTTGGCAAACACAGCAGGAGTTTTTGGCACATGGGCAGATAAATACCATTACTCCTGTTGCCAGTGCAGTGGCTGGGAGCATGAGGGTAATACAGAGACTGTGCTGCCTTCTCAGGATTGTCATCGCTCTGTCCTGCTGCCATTTGTATCTGGAACGGTGAGCAGAGCTGCCATCCAGAAAGCAACGTGTGTTCATTGCTACAAGTTCCAGCAGAGCAAGACTTCAAGGAATGATGCTGCGGGGACCCGTCTCCCTGCCAGAGCCAGCGGCTTCTGCATGCCGTCTGCTGCACAGGCTCTGAGAGTCAAATGAGAAGGGACAGCAGACAATTAATCACCTATCCGAGCACTATTTATCTGCAGCTCTGAAGTAAACTCCCAAATGATGGAAATATGTTAGTAATTTTTGGCCATATGTGCTTTTCCCCCAAAATGAGGCAGAGCCAAATGGCACAGAAGTGATACTTTAATGTACAACATATTTTCATAATTTTTCCCATGTATACTAGATTCCTCTTCATGGTCGTGGCAAAGGAACTTTTTTTTTTTTTTTTTTTTTTTATTCGGGTTGTGATTAACTCGGGAAAATGCTGAACCCAAAGAGGAAAATATTTTCCTTGGAAGTTGTATTAACTCCCCTTCTCCTGGGGAAGGTGCAGGCGTGTGGCAGCTCCATGTGGGTCTGCCTCCTGTGCGTGGTTCCCGTAGACACGGCTGTTTGTCAGGGGGCTTCACTGCTCGAATGTAGAGATGTTCAGTGCTCTTGTTTCACAGGCACGTGAGGGCCAGGGGTGACTGCAAACAAATGCTTGAGAAGCCAAGTTGACCTTTTAAATGGCCCTTTCAAGAGTCTCTTCATGCATCTAGAGCAGGGAAATCACCTTGTTTACTCAGCTAACGTTTTGCTAGCAAAGAGCATATCGCTGGCTGAACAAGTCTCCCTCTCAAATAAAAAGCGCCTGGCGTGCTTTGCTGGGGGGAAGGGAAACAGAGATGTCAGTGTTTTACCTTGATGCTCTCCCGGGTGCGGGGATGGCTCCGCTTCAGGTGCAAGGGTTTTCGTGTCACGGTCAGTGGGACAAGTCATTGCCAGGACGATGCCGCAGAGAGGGGAGCATGGGGATGCAGAAGCGGTGCGGAGCGGGTCGCTGGGCATCTGCAGCTGGGCAGAGTGCTGCTGCTGTCCTGGGGCAGGGGCGCTGGTGCACCCTTGCCCCCAGCCTCACTTAGCAAAGGCTTTGTGCCGGCGAAGGCTGCTCAGGAGTCGTTTTGTTTTTCCCCTCTCTCTGGCTTGTTTTTCAGCTCTTAAGATGACCATAAAGGAAGTGAAGAAGGAGAACGGGGACAAGATGATTGTCCCGCGGAAGAGGAAGGCGCTGAAGCTGGGGCCCATCCGGAAGAAGAATCTGAAGAAGCTGGTGCTGTTCCTGAAGAACGGGGCCGACTGCCCCTGCCATCAGCTGGACAACCTCGGCCACTACTTCCTCATCATGGGCCGCCAGGTGAAGACGCAGTACCTGCTGACAGCCATCTACAAGTGGGACAAGAAGAACAAAGAGTTCAAGAAGTTCATGAAGAAGATGAAGTCTCCCGACTGCCCAACATTTCCGTCCGTCTTCAAGTGATGCGGTGGGTGGTGGGAGAGCCGTCGCCTGGACCTCGCGCAGCCCGGCACAGCAGCTCAGCCTCGCTCCTCTGCAGCGGAGATGCTGGAGCTGAGCCCTCCTGCTCCTCCCTTGTGCTCCTCAGAGCTTCCCTTGCTGACCCCAGCCCTCCCACCTCCCCACTGCTGGCATTTTCCTGATCGCCCAGGCATGCAAGTGTGACGTGTGTGCACCAAACAGTCGCTGAGGTCACACGCGATTTACATCCACAATATCCAAAGACCTAGTGCTGTACAGATATGTACATTCATTTAAATAGCAGCTATCAGGTAAAAAGGGCTAGTGGAGGGGTGTGAAGTTCCGTCAAGAGATTACACGATTGCAGAAAGGACCCTTGTGACCATGTTACTGCCATCTTCATGGCTGCAGGATTGCCCTAAAAAGCTCCTGTTTGAACCAGAGCCGGCCAATTAGAAAAGCATCCCATCTTCATGATAAAAGTTAATAAACGAGTAGTGGAGAACCTGTTACAACCGCTGATAAAACCTCCTAATAGCTAATTGCCCTCACTGTAAAAAAAAAAATCCCATTGTAGTCTAAACCTGCTTAGTTTAAGCCTTAACCCTGGGGTCCTTGTGATACCTTGATCGGCCGGATTGGGGAGCCCTCCCTTACCAGCATCTCTTGAAATGTGTCACCGGGATGCCTGCCCTGGCCTGTGCCGAGCCGAGCTGTCTGAGCCCCTCGAGCCTGGCACCGTGCTGCTCCTTCTCCAGCCTTTGAGTCCCTTGCAGCCCTGCCCGGTTTGATGGTGCAGCAGCCCCACCGCGGCCGCGGGGCCAGTGGCAGAGGGGGGCTGCCTCCGCCCGTGCCTCTGGCCTCGCACGGACCCCTGGCCACAGCAGTGTTCAGCTGAGCGTCCCCCACCCTCACGCCTCCCATGTCAGCCTTTCGCAGCAGAGTTCCCGTGCACGCGTGGCCGGTGCTGCTTGTGCCCAGACACGTAATTCAATTTTAGCCACATGCGAATGCATCCTGTTTGCTGGCCAGCCCAGCAGCCTGGGACTCCCCATTGAGGGAGAGCTCGCAGCCAGCTCTTCCAGCTTGTGTCACTCCCTAACTTTACCAGTGATATTTTTATAGTTTCTTCAGGCTGCTGGCAAAATACCAGATTGCAGAAGGCCGAGAACTGGTCCCTATGGAGCACCACGGGAAATGCATCGTCTCCGTCTTTCCCTCTTTGCAGTCGCTGTGGGACCTATCAGTTTCTAGGTTTTTGTCTGTTTGATGTGTGACAACTTGGCTTTGTATCATTCTGGGTTTTTTTTTTCCTTAATCAAAATGTCATGTTAGTGTGAGGTCAAATAGTTTAGGAAAGACAAAGAATACTGCATCCAAATAATTACATTTATCGACCAAGCTGAAATTCATTATAACGTTAATTGGACAAGTTATCTTTTCCATAGACCCGTATTGCTCCACATTAATTATACTATCCTGCTTCCATTCAGTGTTCTCATCAATCACGATTTCTCTGAGAAAATGAGTATCTTGTGATCTCAGATAATCCTGTTGTATTGCAGTTAAGTGAAATAACAAATCCTCATTTTTGAGGTTTAAACCAACCCCACTCAAAGCTGGTAAATTAATTATTCTTTAGCTCGGGAGTGCTGTTTATTCCCCACGTGGGGACAGAGCTGCAGACTTGATTGTAGAAGAATTCCGTGAAGAGCCCAAGCGCACTGGGGAATGATGTTTCACAGTTAACAGAGAGATGGATTTAGGAAGCGAACTCTGTAGAAAGTCCCACTAGGTTGTCTTAGACCACCATTTGTAGTAGCGTTGTTTCTTTGATGCAAAATTAATCATTGTAGATAATGTGCTTTATCAGTGAATTAAAGAAATAAATAAACCATAGGCTTTAACATCACAGATTGATGAGGTGAAACGATGGGGAAGGCTGACAAATCCAGCCTTGTCAGAAACAGGTCGTGGCCCAGAGTTGGGACACATTGAGCTGAAAGGCTGATTATCTTGGAGCACCTACAGCAACAGCACCCGGCAAAGCCCCGCAGGGACCGGGGCAGGGGCTGTCCACCCCCACCAGCTTTCCTTCCACAGCCAGGTGGCAACACGGAAGAGGAATTGGTTTTGCGTGAGAGAGAGATGCTTAAACATTTACTTGGGCTGGGGTTTTCATGCTATCGCCCAGGCTGCTGATGGGTGTCCTGTTGGCCACCTTTAGAAACCTGCTGTGTAATGGGCTGTTGATTTACTATTTTAAAAATACATATTTCAGCAGGAAGCATCACATCAAAGAGCAAACCAGTTCGCATGTGCTTAGAGCCACTTTGAGCCCCTGGCAGCCTTCACTGCTCAGAAAGCCTGTTTCCCACCAGTGGATCTTGAGCCTGAAAGCCTGGATCCAGAGGCAGGTGGAGTGAACAGGGCGGTGGCCTGTTGTCCTTTGCTCCAGTACAGCGCGTGAAATGATGTACGTGAGTTTGTTAATACCGCTGGTGCTTTTTTCTGCAGAAGTAGTTCAGAAAAACTAGTAGCAAGAGAGTGCCCACGAGTCATGTGTTTTGCTCTTTGTAACTGTTTTGCGCCGTCATCTCACGGACTTGGCCCAGCCTGCTGGAGAACCTCTGCCTGTAGGTGTTCATGCCAGCGCGCAGCACGGGGATGCGAGGAGCGACGGCCCTGGACTGGGACTCGTGGCAGACGTCGTGCGAGGACTGTGCAATCTTTCAGACTGCATCCCGGGGCTGAAGAAACCCCAGACCTTGGAGCTACCCATGGGAAGAACAAATTATCACTGTAATTACCTACTTAAAGCATAACATAATTGTATGTTACTAGTTGCTCTATCAGTTACTTCAAACACCACTCTGACCCTGTATGTTTGTCCTTAAAAAGCTGATCAGAGCTGCTGAGCAGATTGGCACATCGTATTTCAGACACAGTATTTTGGACATTTCCATGTACCTGGAAAAGTAATTTCACCATTCTCTTGCCAAACTGCTCTGTGATCTGCCAGCCGTTCCTGCGTGGATCCAGTGTGTAGGTTGACTGGTTATCACTCCACTTCCCTCGTGCTCTCTTGGTATGTGGAGGCTTTTGATAAAAATAACAGCACTAAAAGAAATGCGTTTGATGTAACATCATGTTGTAAGCAGTTAAGGTATCTTTACATTTTGTTTTAATATTATTTTAGATAGTTAATTTAGAAAAGTGTGGCAGATGAGAGTGGACTGCGTTTCTGTTTGGAAGTTTTGAGAAAGAGAAAATGTAAAAGACCAGTTAAAATCGGCACTGTAGAGAACCGCCTTCTCTGGGCAGCAAACAAAAGCATGAGGCTTTTCATTACCGTAGCTGGCATGATTTTTTTATTTCTATGAATATTCTTACACCTTTTAAAGGCTGACAGATGTAACGATTAGCAGTATGAAGGCTAACGCAGCTCTTACTCTAGAAAAGAAATCTGGCGTGGAAGCACATCCTAAATGTCTGGAAAAAGGAGCTTTTTCCCTGTCCTGTCACTTCAGGGGGAGCTTGGTTGCAATGAGAAGGTTTGGTGGGTGATACTGTGAAATCGCCACCTCATGGAAAGGTGAAGGTGGAGTCAGTAAGAGAGACATACCGAAACACCAGCGCCGGCACCAGGAGGAGACCCTGGTGCATGCTGATGAGTTTGAAGGAAAATAGGGTCTGGTGTTTGCAGTGTGTATAGCCCGGCCCGCGTGAATGCTCCCTCTGCAGAGGCATGGACATGCACCGCCTGTTTACGTGACTGCTGCACTGGCAAAGCAGAAGCAGATCCATTTTGAAGAGAAGAGGCTTTAAGAGAAAATGTCCAAGTTTCACACTCCCCAGAATACATCTCTCTCTCCTTTAGGAGACATTAATTAGTTAATAGGTGTTGATGCGTTGAGAGCGACAGAACACGTGGATGTCTGCCCAGTGATGTACACTGGCAAGCCTCAATGGACAGGCAGGAGCCAGCCTCAGCTTGGGCTGCGGCTGCTGCCTGGGACCTCTTGAGCTCCCACCATGGCCACAATGTGCCTTAGTCTGCACGCCGGGGGGCACCGGAGACCCCCCAGTGCCAGTGGGTTTAATTCAGGCCCGCAGTGATAAGCTTGACTCTGCAAAATCGGTGTCAGCTTCCACTTCTCGGATGTGTATAAAAGTTCAGACACTCTGAAAACGTTCAGTGCTCTTGTTTTTTAACCAACAAATTTCAGCAGTGTGTTCACGTTACCTTATTTTAGCAGTTGTTGATGTTATGACTTACATTTATTTTCAAGTCTAATAGTGGTTCTGTTTTCTTAATGCTTTTTCTTCCATGTATCAATATTCACTTAACTAAAATTGCTGAATTAATCAATTACAGTGTGATTCCCCTCCTCCCCCTTTTTATAAAGAGATGTTGTTTTCTAATCTGCATTGGTGCTTTTGAGGGTTGCTGCAGAGTGACTGGTTTGAGGATGTGCTGGGGTGAGACCCCAGGAGGCTGTTGGTGGTCCCACAGGGGTGCGCCTGCTGCCCGCTCACAGCAGCGATGCTCTGGGCATGACACTGGTGTCATTTGTCACACAGGTGGTAAGATCGAGACTATTGGCCCTGTTCAGGGAAATCCCCATGCGAGCTTTTTGGCATGTTCTGCTCTTTCATTCAGTTCAGTTGCCTTTTCAGTATAATATGATTTACACAAGGAAACCTTTGGCCATTCAGCCTTTCTCATTATTGTCCTGTTCTCTTTGACTTCATGCCAGTGAAAAGTATTGGGGCTTCACTCTGCCTAAAGTTTCAGTTTATTGAAGGAAGACTGCCATAGCTTTTCAATAATAAGATGTTGGGGCAAAGTCTGGCACTTAATGAGTTCACAAGAGTCCATAGACCCAGTGGTGATGGACAGTGCCCGTGGGTACCCTCCCTATCTGCAGACAACAGGTGACACTGCCAGAGCCTCCCGTGGTCCTGAGCCCAAAACGGCATCCTGCCGTACGCTGGTATGT